CGCTTCTCTGATCAAACCCTAACAGACTGTTTTCCAAATTAAGTAAAAGTGAATTGAATGAAGCCAATACTACTACCCAGTTCTTTCTATAATATATTAGAATATATTTGATTATTAAGATTAATAGCCAACATTTATTGAAGACTTCTTAAGTGCAAGGTGCTGTGCTAAGTAAGCTCTTTACATCATCCCATTAAATTCTCAAAACACCTATTTTACAGATGTTCACAAATGTAGCAGAGGCATCTCTTAGATGAAGTAATTCAAACAAGTCAGAATTCATAGCCAGAGTCTAATTATAGAACAGGAGTTCTCAACCACCATATTGTACATCTCTACTCCAAATTCATTGGAACTGAAAGAAAGTGTGTCTTTTCTATGGAATCTTAAACGCTAACACTTCTCCCACATACACACACAAACTATTTTCATGACTGCAAGACTTTGTTCATGCTTTTCCCCTTAATCTTCTCCTTTTCCCAAGAACCTTCCCAGTGTTGCCCCCTTTCTTGCGGCATGACATAAATGCCTACTACCAAATTTCTGAGATTCCCTTAGCCTCAATCTCATCTATAAAATCCCTGTTATACATGTAAAATAATATTTAATATTGTCGCTTATGTACATAACTGGCTCTCTTGCTAGACTATAAATCTTCAACTTTTAAAACCTAGAATCCACAGTAATATATTTTGCATTGCAACTCAATTCATGCACAGATGCACATATACACACACAAATAGATAGATAACTAAAACAAGTTTCATGAGAAATACTTGCTTTTACTACTTGTAGTATACATTGATCCATTCCATTCCATTCTTTTAGTGGCTGGTCATGACTCACTAAATTTATTTCTTGAAGCTCAGATGGGTCAGTGTTGAAAAAAATGCTGAGCCAGTTTAGGTTCTTTTATGTAAGGACGCATATTTTGTTTATTTTTGTATTGCTACTGGCAAGCTTAGCATCTGGCACAAAGTAGATATTTGGTAAATACTGGCATAGGACTGGGTTTCCTTGAGGACAAGAGTCTTAGTTACTTCGTATCCATCCCACATTTAGCATAATTCTTCCCACAATATTTAGAGGTCAAACGGCTAAAATTCAGGCCTATTGCCAGGCTTTAAAGATCAAACATTTGGATCAATCAATATCTGACAAGCACCTACTATGTGGCAGTATATAAATGCTGAATTCCTGGCTCTTTTTTTCTTAATTATCTTAAAAGCAGTGTGGGATCACTTTGAAGGAACTATAAATGTTGCCCAATTGAGAAATTTAAAAAAAGACTAAGACATATGGAGGCCAAAATATCATCTTTACTAATAACAAAGTCTAAGTCAGAGAGCATACAATAATGTGAGAGCCGGTCAGACCTGTTAATTAAACCCTAAATTGAGGCAATGCTGAATTCGGGTGGCCCTCCCTATGCTAAAGGCCTGTGCAGATGAGGCACAAGGCAGCTCATACCTAAGAGGAATGTGGGAGGAGCCGAGCTCAGCAAACCCAGTTTATTTTTTCTAAATATACCATTTAGATAAGTCACTCCTCCTCTGACCAGGGATCAGGGACAGAAGGAATAAAAGAGTATGAAGAGACCAGGTGTTACCAACTGAGCTTTCCCTCTTCTGGAAGGAAACGGCACAGGAGGGGTAAATGTTCCCATTTAAGAATCAGATTTGGGAAACAAGATTTTATGTATGTATGTGTGTGCATATGAAATACTAAGTAATATATACGTATATGTCTAGATAAAATACTAAATAATAGTATAAAACAATCCAAGGACTATCACGAGATAGATACCCAATTAAATTTTAAATATAGTTAGCACTGGTGTTTCTCAAGTCTGACCGTTCATCAATAAATGATAACAGACCTTTTATACTCCCCTCCCCACCTTCAGTATGCCTGATGTGAAACCTATGATCTGTTTTTAAACTTTCCTGGGTAATTCCAATGTACAGGTAAGGCTGAGAACTATTGCCTTAGAGGAGCTAGACAGACAGTGAGCAGGAGGAAACTGGACAGACACGGTAAGATAAGTAGGATTGAGGCAGTCAGAAAGGAGGGAGCAGAGCATTTTATTTAGGAATGAGAACAGTAAATAGGACTCCAGAAATAACTGTGTCTCAAGAGTAACCTCAAACTTTATTCTTAAAAACCCTTATAGAATTTATCTTTAGAAAAATGATCTATGCTAATATAGCAAATAAGACATCTGGCAGCATGGGTTAGTGGAAAAGATCTTGGACTTTTGAAGTTACGAGGCTTTAGTTCCTGACTGTGTGACTGTGTCCTAGTCACAACATCCTTCACCCAGATATTTAAGGGTTGTTTGTAAAGGTAGGAGTTCTTAAAGCATTCTGGGGAGATGGTTGCATAGTCTTCTCCATTTCAGGAAGTGGCACTGCCATTGACCTAGAAGCTCAGGATAAAAAACTAAGTCATTTTTCATTTCTTTTTCTCACCAGTTCCCACATCTAATCTCAGCTAACCCCAATAATTCTTATTCCAAAACATATCCCTAGCCTGTCCAATTTTCACTTTATTGATTACTACCCCAGTCCAAGACACCACTTTTTACTTGGATTATCCCAGAGTTCTGTATTTAGTAGGTCTGGGGTAGGGCCTGAGAACTTGCATTTCTGACACATTCTCAGATGATGCCGATTCAGCTGGTCCATAGACAATTCTTTGAGAATCACTGCTTTAGAGCAATGTTTCTGAACTATGGGTGCACAACAGAATCACCTGAGAGCTTTTAAAAACTACTGTTCTTGCACCTGACTTCCACAGATGCTGACTCATTAGCTATGGGAATGCGGTCTGGCCATTTGTAATTTTTAAATCTCTCTGGGTGATTCAGAATGTACATCCAGAGTTGAGAAATATTACCAAGGCTTAGAGGAATGGCTAAGTTTTCTTTGCTCTTCATGACTTTTGCACTAGCTACTTTCATCACTCTTCCTCTAGGTCCTTCCATGGATGGATCTATCTTGTCATTTAGATCTCAGATTAAATGTCTCTTTCTCAAGTAGGCCTTCCCTGATCCGCTGATCTAAAATACCAACCCTATCTTTATCACACTGCCCTGCTTGTTTTCATTATAAGAATTAGCAGTTCTTGAGATTTCCCTATTAACGCTATTGTCTGTATCTTCCAACTATAATAAGCATTTTGAGCATAAACACGTTTGCTTGTCTTATTCACTGCTGTATCCCTGGTATGTAGAACAGTGCTTGGCATCTATTAGGTATTCAATATATGTAAATGAGAGAGATAAAAACATTTAAAATAAATCCTTCCAGTCATTGTGTTCTTTGCAACGATTCAATTATATTTTAATAAAATTTGCTTCATTTATGAAATAGAATTGAACCATCTATGAAAAAAGCATCGGGTTTTTGTAAATACATCTTAATTGCACTGGGTTCATTCTCCATAGGACCTTTATATTAAATCTTCTGCAAAGTTATTATACTTAATATTTTCACATGTAGTACATATTTGTTCATAATACTGCTGCTTAGGGAGTACACCCAGAGTAAGGCAGCTGGGTATGGCCAGGATATATTTATGAAATCAAGGGATTGTTGCATAGATTTGGTTTGCCTGTTTTGGGGGAGAGTACAGGGTAAAGGGATTTGTAGAATGGAAAGGTAGGGAGCAACAGAGGCACAAAAAAAAATGAAGGCTATATCTGGTTCCTCCTAAAAATGGGCTATCTACACATTTATTCTCTCTCCTTTGGGGTTTATCTCTCTAATGAATGTATGTAATCTGGAGGAATTGAGGAGTTTTAATTTCAGGTAAAGATAGAGATTATTAAAGCGTCTTGAGATTATTAAAGCGTCTTGTTTCACACTGGTTTGTTCAAGCCAGTGCAGCAAAATCTTCAGTTGTGGGTCATTTGTTGCTTGGTCTCAAAGAAGCAGAGGATTAAATTGATAATTTAGGTGAATTAAAGGCAAAGCAGATGTCTTTAAGTCCCCCATGGACCATTTTTGAAATACATTACCTATGAAAACATAGAACAACATCTGTAACAGGGTGGAAAGGGAGATTACGTGCCTCTGGCTGGTTTCTTTGGCAGGGATGTGGATACTTCCTCAAAAGTACAAAGTATACAACCTTCGCCTACAACTATTTGGCTAGGTTCACTTGTAACCAGTTTTTCAGGGAGCTGCCACCCCTTTCCTATTCGTGGTTCGTCAGTCATGGTTTTAAACAAAAAGCTTTGTTTGTGGAGTAAATGGCTGAAATCCCTTTGGCGCTTGGCACAGCCAACCGCGCGGGTTCCAGAGAACACAAAACCCGCGAAGGGTAGATAGAGGTTGTGACTTGAGGAAAACCAAAGGCAGAGGGGGCGAGAGGGAGGGCGAAGCAAAGCAACAGAACAGGTGGTGCATTCTGGGAGTTGTAGTCCTTGTGGGGCGGCCCCCTCAAACCTCCACCAGACTCAGGACTCCATCTCCCAGCTGCCCCCGCGCCGCGGGGGGCCGGGCAGGCGGTGGAGGCTGTCGGTGATGAGCTGCTGCAGGGGGTGGGGGCCTAGGACTGAGAAGCAGCTGCAGCGGCTTCCAGGAGACGTTACCTGCAGTCCGTGAGGGCAGAATACTACTCGGGCGGGCAGCGACGAAGGCTGTGTGGTCGCCGCGCGTCCCTGTGCTCGCCCTCTTTCCTGTCCACAGGCGCGTGGTGTCCGCCATGGAAGCGCATCCGGCCGCTGCCGTGGTCTCCGGGCGCCGTGTCCCCGGCTCCCCGGAGCGATGAGGGGATAGGGGCGCCTCGCGGCCCGCCTCCGCCCTCGCTCCGTCGGCT